GTGCGTGAGTGTCTGTGTGTGTGTGTGTGTATATATTGCAAGCAAGCAAGCAAGCGCGTGTCTTTTCTAAGCACCCTTCTTCTCATACTCAGAGACTCATTCCCCTCCTTTTTACCTAAGCAAGTAATCGCACACACGCTTTTACATAGACATATGCACATATGCGTGCATGCTACCCCCCCCCTTACTACATACACGCAAGCACCAACCCTAGATCCAGCATCAACACTTACACATCCTTTTGACATGGCCACTTTTGACACAACAGAGTGTCATGTCCGAGCCACGGGCATATCAAATATCACCCCCCCCCCTTTCCTCCAATCTCCCCTCAATTGAACAATCCGCACTTCCATTACACGCCCTTTCCTTGTACTCTTCAATCATACTTCTCCTTTACCTTTTTCCTCTCCCGCCTTCACCCCACCCTCCATTCCTTCAAATTCTTCTTCTTAGTACCGCTCGATCCCCTCTCTAAGACTCCTCCCATCCCACGCCTCCATTGTACTTTTCTCCGCTCCACCCCCATGTATCTGTCTTCCCAATACTCCTGATCTCTCACATTCCCACCCAACTTTCCACTTTAACCCCCCCCCCTCTCCCCCACTTTTATGTTCCTCATATCTCCACCCCCTCCAACAAACTCCTTACTCCCCCCCCCCAACCACCACCCCCATGTATCTCCTTTATTCTCCTACCACCTTTACCCATCCTTTGCACTCCCTTCTCCCCTCCATCCCCACCTCAAATATGTACCTCTTTATACTTCTTCCACCTTCACCCCTCCTGTACACTCCCTTCCCGTCCCCTCCATCCCCAGCTCTCGCGCACCTCTGCCTCCCCGTCCCCACACCAGGCCTCACACGGATGGCTCGTGTCACATAAACCCGCGGAGAAACACTCCATCAAGCCCAGGGTTGTCCACAGCAGCGTAAAGCCGGATAAAGTATTTTAAAAAGGAGCAAATGCTCAAATCTGCAGCGAAAATAATCGTGCAAAATATCAAATAGACGAAAAGACGAAACTCGCCCATCTTCTGACTCCAAGACAACTTGACATTCCGCTTAAGCCGTCCCAAAGTTTATCCGCGACTAAAAACAGAACTTTAATGCGATGCTGACAGCGCCCATAACACGCTGTATTGATGATAGTTCAGATTTGCTCATTTCACAACCAGCCTCCTTC